CTTTCTCATTCCTAGTTATCATTTCAAAGCTATTAACTTCACATAGACTCACTCAATTCAAACATTTAAATATATAAATGAAATTTAGCTTGACAGTTAATTATTTTAAAGTCATTGCAATTAAATATAAATTACCTTGTGTAATCGTGTGTTGTAGGCACAAATGATCAGCCAGAGAGTATGTGGTGAGAGGTCAAAGTTTGCCGACAGTGGATCCAAAATCTCTGGAGAGAGATCTGAAGTCGCTGACAAGGAACCTCTGCTGCCCCGCCACTGTGATTATGGCAGCTCACAGCAACCTTGAACCCTGGGGCCTACAGCTACTGGGTCCTAAAGTTGAGATCGGGAGGGAGGGTTGGAGACATGTATGGGCCCAGGGTGGTTATGTAGAATATTTAAAGGTAGATGCATAATATATACCACCAGTAGTCTATAATAAATTTAATTTTTTTAACATTTATTCTTTTACTCTACATGAGCAGCCCGGACCATTTGTGGTCCAGAGCCGGGGCCCTTTTTCCGGCCCGATCCCCCTCCTCCCCTCCCTCTTCTTGACTTTACTGCCAATGATTTTTTGGGCAGAGTTCATTATAAGAAAGGATGCTTGCCTTCAAATACTAGACTTTTGGGTTTAAATCCTATAAATTACTGCTCTAGTGTAAGCATCATAGTGATGCATCACATAGTTTGATACGTAAATTATATGTGTGCCTACCAATATGTAATGAATGTAAAAAAAAAAGTCACTAGGATTTAATGTGTATAAAGTAGGTTTGGCTTTTTATTATTGTGTTTGCTTTTGTTGATACTGTATTGTCTTTAAAATATTAATATTAATTGTGGACTTTTTAAATTTATGAACTATGGCTCAAATATACAGTAAGTTGAAATTAGAAATGAAATATGCACAGAATGTGCATAATGAAATTAACTTTATATAAAGGAAATAATATGGCTAAATTGCACATAATCTGTTAACTAAGCTGGGCTTAGCTGTTGACTTTGAGGAGCTAATCCGCCCTGTTGGTTTTTTTTCGCTACTGGGTATTATTGTAGGAAACTTGAATGCCCAGTGGATAGAGTTGATTCTGAGCAGACATTTGGAGAGAGGAGGGCATGCATGACCCTGGAATGGGTCTGAAGTGGGGTATACAAACACTCTGATACAAAATTAAAGGGGGGTGAAACAAAATTGGAGGGAGTGAAACAAAATGGGTGGGGGTAAAACAAATTAGCTGTGTTCAAAAACAAAGCGAAACATTTAGAGTCATCCCTTTAATTTTTAATGACAATCACCTGAAACTAACCACCATTTTTTCAAACTCGCCCACCCCCCCAGTTAATTCATAAATCTTTAGCTCATTCACCATTCACACACCCTTTTTGTATATCAACTTAATACTGCCAGAGCCTGACTTTAAAAGAAACCTGGTTTACATGAAAATCAGAATGGTTGCTACCAGAGGCCTGCATTCTAGACAGTTTCATCTATTCTTTCCATGTCTGTTTTAACTAATGGTGGTAACCATAAAAGTCCTTACAAGTTTTAAAAAGGACAAAGTCTCCAGTTGTCCTCTAACTTAAAACTTAGATACAGGCCAGTAGTCTTTTTGTGTCCTAGTACTAGTGTTTGCCATTCTGGTTCGGAAGTCAAAGGTCATGTTTATATAAATTTCAATACAAAACAGAAAACTAAAATAGTTGGAGAAGTTCTTATTGGACAAATAAATCTAATACTTGTGAAGGCAGGATATGCTGAATTGAGAGGTATTGTGTAGATTAATTGAAAATCCTGTTTAACTCCAAGGATACCTTATTTCACAAATGTTCATCAATATTTGGTTTTGTTTCTTTGTTTTTCTCTACCTGATGTCATAATTATATATATGCTACTGGACTCTTGTTTAATTATGTGTGGATCTTTAAGCTTTATACACTCTTTGCATATTTGATTATTCATTTAAAAAGAAATAAAAAAAAATGGAAATTTCAGAAAAAATAAATGTTTTTCGTTATTTTTATTATGCTCCCTGCTGCCTCGAAATCCCCAAAATAGGATGTATATTTCTTCCTAATTATATAAATTTAAAGCATTAAGCATCCCATTACTACAGTGTTTACATTCACTAATACTATAACATATTTATTTTCTCCTCCATCTGGATGTTTTTGACAAAACTATTTGCTAAATAAGAAAACAAAATTTAATTTTTATTTTTATTTCGTTCTTTTCTGACGGCCTTAAAATAAAGTTGCAAAACAAGTTATAACAAAAGTCATGCCTTATGTGATGACATTATTCCGACAGCTGCTCATTGAAATTTTGCATTTTATCCCCAGGATAAAACAAGAGAGCCCAACCATATGCAATCCAAAGCATTCTATTTGCAATTTGTAGCATTATATGTCGTTGATTGTCAATTTTCTGTCACTGCACTGAACGCAGAGGGTATAATTTATCCCAAACGCATCATCATACATCATCTTTCATAAAAGAGTTGGCCTCTTTTACGTTGAACTTTGTATGTGTGAGTGAAAGAATCATATTATTATAGTTGACATTTAACATGAACATTACTCAATTGATATTTTATGTAAGTGAAACAGCCACACTCGCAAGCTAGTAAGTAGTGTAACTGTAACAACGAACACAAACACCGTCATACCGGTACTTTGTGTCCCCTGTGTATACCTTATTCCAAGTATATGTATTAGTCATTATTTTATCATACCAAAGGAATGTTCAAGCCCTATTCTATTTAACTATACAGTATTACCTAGTAATTAACATTTAACTTTATTATTATTATTATTATTTATTTATTATTTTGACATTTTTATGGTACTCTACAAGCACCTTACAAAACTTACATTAAAAAAAAAGTGTTCCTAATATTACGAGCAGCTGTACGGCAGAGAAAAGAAACGTTTGAAGATGACGTTTGAATAGGGGTGCCGACTTATTGCAAATCGACAGGATACGCATAGCAGCAGTAGAAAAAGCACTAACGCCAGCTTTCTTCTGCGATTTTGCAGCAAAAAGCTGGTTGGAATTATTATATTAATATATAAAGGAACATCAGAATGAAAAAATTTGAAAACATAGAGAGTTCTAGTATTCAGCTAAGTAACACCTCATCAGCAAAATTCTGTATTATGTGTCTTGCAAACACAAAACAAAATCCAAAACAAATTTTTAGTTTTGGATTTACATAGTTCTAGCGGAACAGCACCAATACACTAGAAGTAGATATTATTCCAAGTGTTAGGTTTGTTTAGGTGAGGGTACAGGATGGGGATTTTCAGAAATGTACTGTTTCTCAAATGCACGTGCCACTATACTGTACACATTCCACAGGGAGTCTCATATGTCGTTATAACATATATTGCCAAGTAAATTTGAATTAATTCTGCTGGGTTTTTTCAACTAACCAAACCCCTCTTGTATTTCCTCCTCATTCTCCCCCCTCCCCCTTTCATATTTTTTCTTTTTTTCCGTGGCGGATTCAAGTGACAAAGAAGTGCTTTCCCTCCTCATTTCCTCCTCCGCGGCAGCAGCTGCCGAAAAGTCACTAACCAGGTTTTGAAATCATTTCAGTATAAAATAAGAGATTAAAATGCTTCCAAGGTCATAGCCATCTGGTGGACACCAAGATTAGAAAAGGGGATGTTCCAAAAACCTTCCACTCGCAACCATGTTCCGCCCCTTTTGGACATTATGCTGCCACCACTTTCCTTCCACATTACTCGCTATTAAAAGTTATGTTTTGTGTCCACACTATCAAATTTTGTTTGACAAAAACATGTGACATGCAAAATGTGATCATGATGACATCACAACATGACCAAATATAGGCACGTCATGGCTTTATATGGGCATACAACAGTTTTTTGTCAAGTAAGATATGATATTTTGGACAGGGCTTCCATGCTCTGTGTCCACACTACAACATTTTATGTGACAACAATTTGTGATGATGATGATGTCATATTTCCGGGGTGGGGGGATGGGGATGCTCAAGTGTGGGAAATAACTAGGGTGAAATTGGTAGTTAAAAGTCCCTCTTTGCTAGGTACAGCCACAAGATCGCGACCGGACGGAACACTTTTGGCCATCGGGAACCAGTCAATATTGCGCCCTCTCTGGCACTTTTGGGTGGCCTTGTACCTGTCGTCTGTATGACCCATAGAGCTATTAAACAACTAGAGTGCTGACAAGATGGCACAGCAATGCAGAGTTATGTATATGTACCATCCAAGATGGCCGTCGTAGTAAAGCGCCACCTTCAGGCTTAGTATACATATTACTACATATTAATAAAGCCCTCTGACTGACTATTATTTCATTAATGATAATGAGTAATGGTAATAACAAATTATTAAACTATTGTAGCCAAAACGAGGCCAAGTGGAGCATCTTATTCAAAAATAAAGTACCAAGGAATGAAAATTAAAATCGTGTACATTACACCCAAACACCACAACACTTGAATTTCAAACATACGGGTAACTAGCTATACTGAACTTGCTGAGTAAATTGAGGGCGCAATTGCAAACGATGGTGCTTAGCGAAATTTGATTGGCTAAATCTATGGCAGCCATCTTGGATGGTACACACACAGAGTTCTGCGTATTTCGAACATCGAATACATTGCGGTTAGCGCTCTAGTATTCTTATTATATCTCTATGGTATGACCACTGTGGGATTTTTGGTAAAATGGCAGTTCAAAGAATTTTCAGTAAAATAGGTAGTGCAAGTGTCTCATGTCTTGAAGTGGCTGCGGCACCCCCTGTTTGGTTGGTATGCAGGTGAGGTTCCCGGGGTCATATTACACCCAAGTATGGGCACATCACATTTATTTGTCACATGAAATTTGATAGTGGGACAGAGCTTAACACAGGTTCATTGGTTCTGTTATTTCCACTTCATTAAATAAAATTGTGTATATTTTTATATTAAAAGTAAATTTAATTTTTAAAATTTTTATTGACATTTCAGGTAGACACGCAAGGATAGGGGCGAACCCAAAGCTGAACAATTTGATGTCCGGCTACAAAGCGTCAAAGTATAACTTGATTCTTATCAGTGATAGCAGCATTAAAAGTGAGTTTTCCAGAAATCATTCTGATTAAATATGAATCTTCAATTTTTATTCAAACCTAGAAGAATGGCAGCATAGGTCAGTCAGCTAAACTGGCGATAGCCACATTGTATGTGCAATACGGCTCATGTGCAAGTTAAAGAATGTACAGTTGAACCCACTGGTCTTTATAACTTTCGTGAGTTACTGTCTTCTTTATGTTCACACTGAATAAACCAATTGTCACACTCAGTGTTGTCATCACAATCGATTTGATTTTTTTTTTTTCGATTTAGATTTTTCATCATGGTTTTTCCTCATCGTTTTCATTGTCCGCATCATTAATTGTTGCTATCATTATCGTCATCCTCATATTCACCAACATCATTATCATCATCATTTTTTTTTTCATATTTATCATTTGATAATTATGGTCTTCGTACCATGTGTTATAATTTATAATCATTGTCAGTATTTAAGAGGTTTCATTTCCTTGAAACGAATATCCCACACTCTTCCCCAGTACTGTAACTGTGAACAAATAAATGGATGCAACAGAATTCTCTATCCTATTAATGTAAACTTCTGTCCATACTACAGTATAAAACTTTATGTGACAAATTTGTGTGATATGCCCATATAAGGTCATAATGAATGATGTCCTATTACATCCAAATATGGGCATATCACATAAGTGAATACATATGCAACAGCATTCCCATTCCCAATCCTATCACTAATGTAAACCTCTGTCCATACAGTACTATCCAACTTTATGTGACAAATTTGTGTGATGCACTGATGTGCCCATATATGGTCATAATCATGTCATATTATACCCAAATATGGGTACATCACATTTATTTGTCGCATAAAATTTGCGAGTATGGACAGAGTTTTAACAGTAGTAGAATTATTATTATTTTGAACCCTGTGGCTGGTACCTATAAGCCAAGAAATACTAATGAAGACTGTCATAATGCCAGGTGGGGGTCGCTACCACATCCCAGACCTCAAACAGAGTCAAAGCACATGGAAAGAATTAATTAACATATTTGTGGTATTGTACATTGTAACTTTCATAGCTGTGGAAATAAAAAAAAATGGTGAAAGTATTTTGGGAAGGGAACCATGCTAGATTATACAAAGTGTAGGTCTCCTTCTTAAAGACCCTCAGAATTCAAGACTACCTTCAATTAAAGGAATGCTAGTCCTAAAAGTGGTCTTTAATTGGAGATTCTGTATTGAGAATAATGGTTAAATTTTAAATGTATGTATCTTTCTCTTTATTATGTCTATTAGCGACCAAAGACACGTTGTTGGACATGGTAATGCATATGACGCCTGGTGTTGGTATCGTACATCAACTTCCATTTACCTGCGACAGGAAAGGTTTCTCCTGCACACTAGAAAAGGTGTGTATTACTCCGTTTATTCAACCATTCATGCAAATTTGATGTAATAAACACAAAAATGGAAGTGTTAGCAGCCAGAATATTAAGGCCAAATGAAAGAAGTTACTAGTTTCTCATCCCCTTGTGCATCCATTTTCTATGCCTCCCCAATTTTTTTTTGTTATTTTATGTTGTTCAATATTTTTCAAATGAACGAAAATCTTGCTAACTCACATTAGTAAAATTCCTCTCTCCATCGATTGTGGTTGGGGATAAATATGGTATGAATCATGTCATGTTTCTCATTGACCATCTTGGATTTGCCATCTCGGAGTAAAAAAGAAAAACAAAAAAGTGGCCTCATTCTCCTTTTTTCCAAATATTAGGACGAGAAACTACTTTTGTTTTTTACTTGGACGAAATCGTAAGTTTTTTTATCGTCTTCTAGTGAGGATTTGTTGTGATATTAACTGTATCCTTCCTCTTCCATTATTTATAGCAGGGGTGTCAAGTCAAGAAATTATTGGAGCTTCCTAAAAATCGTAACGGCCTACCGCACTCCCGCAAGCAAGCAATAATCTCCCGGGATTATTATAACCCATCCCCTGAAAATTTGAATTAATATTTGCATGTTTTTACCAAGTCTTTTATTAATTACCAAATTATGTCACGGAAGTCAGTACCGATGGGTATCACAGCAAAATAAAGTAGGAAAGAAAGCTCATTTTTAAAATTTAAATCTGAAATTTATATAGCGCTTTCTTCCAACGGATACAAAGCGCTTGGATATGTGGACTATGAACTCGATTAGTAACTTATCCCCTAAGGGTCCTTTCGTGTCTTGCTACCCGGTAACCCAGTGAATTATTATAATTATTTTTGTATATTTTTGTGTATGGTCTAAATTGTATTCATGTTTTTATAGTTTTTATTGGTTACTCTATACACTGGGTTCTGGAATAAATGAAATAAAAAAAGACAAAAAAACAGTTTTAAAGGGATAGAAAGGTGTATAATGCCATTAAGAAGAATTTTTTTTTTTACCATAGTGAACTTTTTAAGAAAACAAACGTTGAAAAAGGAAAAACATATTTTTATGGTTTAAAGAAAGCCATGAAGGGAATACCATTAAGAAGATAATATTTTGTTAACTTTAGTGAATTGAGAAAGTGAAAAACATACTTGAAATCGGTATGATAGTTCCATAAACCAAGTTACTGGTAGGCCAGAAATGATTTCATTGCTATTAAAATTTAAAATTATATTCTATGTAGGCTTTTTTTTAGTAAACCTGTTGTATGGAAAAGTTTGTCTTGTATTGAATTTTAAATTAGGATGGCACTGAAAATATTGTTACCATAATATAAGTTTTCCACAGAATTCAAATTGTGTTTATAGGTTAGCACTCCTATACACACTTTAAATTGTAGGATGTAAATTTAGTAGTTGGAGTTTACGAGTCTGTCTGACAGCTCCGGTTGTGAGTTTAAGGTTACTGGCTTCATGATTCATAGGAAGTGGTACTGTAGCACGTAAACCGGCCGGCTCTTTCCTTTGCTTCAAGCATATTTAATGTGATGAAAACATGCTACAGAAATATGCCACACTACTTTTAACCATAATAATGGCGTAAACATTTTGATTTTGAAAAAGAACAAGTACATTAAAGTAAGTAGATATTAGAACAATTAAATAAACACTTGAAGAATAAACAGTATTGTTGAACACAAACAACATTACGTATTTGCGAGCACACCGTGAAATTAACTGCTAATCAAATGCAGGCCTCTACAGCTACTAGGAAAAGCATAATCATGATATCTATGTAAGTGAAGTATTGGTTATTTCAATTTCATTGAAGTACCATATTGTAATAATGTCGTTTTCTATAGTGTTCTTAGCAACTGGCGAAACAAATTTCATTGTTCACTTGTTTGATCGATGACAATAATGTACCTGTATTCTTGATTCCTGAAGGAAAATATAAATACATAAAAAAAAAAAAAAGAAACATTCACCTAAGTATCAACACATCATACATCACAAAAAACATCAAAATACATATGAAAATCAAATGACTATGTTACTTAATAATAAATAAAATCTCTAGGCCCCCATTGCTTTGTAATTTTTGACAAACACGACAAGCTGATGATGATGAAAAAGCGCACACCTACCGTAAATGCTCAAATAAGCGCCACGGTGCTTATAATAATTTCGGCAGCTTCACAAAGGCGTTTCTTCAAGAGCGGCGCTTATACGAGAGCGGCGCTTATACAAGCATTTTACAGTATCCTCTACTGTAGTACTCAAGGTGCTGCAGAATTAAGGAACCAAACATTATAGTAAACCTAAATGCTACCAGAAAAAAAAGTATCTATGCTGACTTTAATACCGTATTTATATTGCATTGTATAACACAAATAGTGTCTTCAGTAGTTTGTTTGAAGGGAACAGGCAGTTAGCATTACGAAAGTCATTTTGAATAAATGTCCTTCGAATATTAACCCTGACTGCATTTTTTTTTTGTGTTGAATACTGCATCCCACACTTCCAAATGATTGAACAATGCTAATGGAAACTAACTCCATTCTTAAAAACTTACTATTCTATCACTTCTGTGTTGTACATATCAATTATTGCTAACCTGGATCTATATGCTATCATGCAAATACAACATTTTTTGACAATAATTTTCTATTTGTAAATAACAATACAAGTGAAATATTATCGATAAAGGAATAAAAAAAATATCACAATTTCTAAAGTACTGTACGAATTTTGTATTCTGTATAGTATTGTATCATAATCTTTATTCATTCATTCGGTTTATATAAAAAAGCAATTGCAGTACAAAGTACATGAGCTTATTTCACAAAAGAGAGATTGAAAATGAAGTTTTTTAAAAAAGACTATTTTTGTGTTCATATATGACCATGTCTATTCATTATACAGTATTATGAAATGACCTGAAAACATCAAGCCATAAATATTGCTGATTGAACAAGCTGAATGAACCAGCTTTAATAACTTTTTAAGTCAAATATCTTGGCTCTTGATTCAGCTCTCTTGCTGCAATAAATAAACCTGAATGATGATAATTGTGGGTCAACTTTTGTAATGTCAAACTTACAACACATTAGGGTTAGCATGTTTTATGTTAATTTTTTGAGGAATTTTTATTGATTGTAAAAGTTCATTCATGCCTGCATCTTTTCTCAGGGTAGAAATCTTAAATAACTTGTACGAAATTTAAAATAAATTATCTTTCTTAAATATTTTTTTTCATTTGTTTCCTTTTTTAAGGATAAATCACAAAATCCTTATCCTCCTACAAACGTCTGTATTGAATCATCCTGAACATCCTCTGCTCTGATAGGCTGATGTCTACATTAACCGACTTTATAGATTTTTATGTTACCTTTCAAGTTTGTTGTCTTCTCTAGGTATTTTTCGGTGGATGGCATTCACGTATGTATCTGACCATGTGTGCTATTCGGACTAACTGCGTAACAGGAATGTCAAATCTAATACGCAAATCAATTATTGACGAGAATGGCGGACTTGAGGAACTTTCCAAGTACATCGCCGAGGACTTCTACATGGGTCTTATTACGTTAAACAGGTAAATTAAAAATACGCTCATGATGGGTGCATGACCATACTGCAGAAACTAGGTCAAAATTATTGGACAAGGTGATATCAGCCATTGGACATCTGTCAAAATGTAGAACCAATTACCAACTCCCTGATAAAACTACATTCACACTACTGTACTTGGCATGCTTGTCAAATGAAATGAACTGAAATGAACCTTAAACACATTCCATTTTACAGAAAATTCCACTACGTACCACAGTATAGAGTATATCTGCGCAAGTGCAGTGTACTGCAAAATATAAAGTAAAAAATAAAATAAATAATAATGCCAAATATTTATATAGCGCCAATTCTAAATAAAAAGGTGCTGAGCATTATTACCCATGGTCAAATCGATAACACACAAGGGCAAACCAGTACAAAGTGCAAACTTCTCTGCTCACTGGGGAGTATACCTAGTCGTGCGCTTGTACTCGACGAACGAAACAAGTACAGTCAATGCCACAACATCCTACCAGGTACCCATTTATGCTCCTGGGTAGAGAGAGATAATCATAGACAAAGTGCCTTGCCCAGGGACACAAGTTGCTTGTACAGCGAGAGTTTCAAACCTCTGGAATTGGTTTTTTCCAAGGAGCGTACCTTCTACAAGTATAGTACATATGGTTCTTCTGTTCGTTTTATCTGTGTTCTTGATATCGTATTAAGTAAATATTTAGAATTGTGTAAGCTTTGTTATTGGAAAGAGAGCTCAACATTTGGTGGTTTAAGTTTCACTTTCCTTATAAACAAGGAATACCAGATTTTTTTCATGAAGTAAAATACCCATTAAACCTCATTAAATGAAATTTATTCTAACAACATCATTTAATTAGTTTACTTCCTGTTATAAACTTACTCTAGGAATAAGGCCTCTTTATCCCACCCCTAGTGTAATTCCACCTGTGCTATAACTTTCCCCCTAATGTTTTACTCATTTACATGCAAAGTGCCCTCTCCTCACTTATAGTGTGGAATGGAAATTCTAGACATTTTATTCCCCAGATAACGATTCTGAAATTACAGCGTGTCAGTTTGGGTTAAACATCATTCCTATAGTGAATCAAATATTTAATATTCACATTGGATTTGATTTATTCGGTGTGAACACCAAGGATAAACCTCAAAACTTGGAAGATGTTTTTTCCAGTGAGGTCCTTCTGGTGGTGATTGGTCAGTATGTCAACAATCCCCTGCTCTTTCCAAAGAGTGTACAGTACTACGTCTCATGCACATGAGCGATATTGCACACGGGACCAACAGCTTGTTACAGACTGCATTGGATTTTTCAGGTTTAAACACCTAGGATAACCTAAAATGTTTGAAGATGACTTATTTCCAGTGGGGTTCTTCCGAAAGATGGTACACTTTTATTTGCATTTCAGCCCACTAGTTGAAACATTCAGAGAGCAGCGGATGGAATTGAACCGGGTTCCAAATGATCTCCACAGTTCATCATACACACAATAGCTACCACCAGTCTAGCCGACTGACGTTTGCTACTTTCTTTAGCATCAAACTGCTATCTAAGATTTGTCATAGTTTGCAATCTAGGAGGCATAGGCTAGACTTGTCAATCCAGCCTATCCAGGATAATTTGCATTTTCTGGTCACTGTAAAGTTGACAGTGACAGCGGCAACTTGGAGGGAGAACTTTAAATTTCTTTGTTCGTCAATAACATTTTATTTTTATTTTCTCTGCCTAGATGTTTATAGCAGAACTGTTTTTGCTTTCCCATAAAAATATCAAATAATTTTTTAACTTCGGCAGATTGAAAATATTCTGATTTTTATTTGCTGATGTTTCAGTATGCAAATTCATAGAATTGATTACCTGCCAATTTAAAGTGTCTATGCAGAAATTAGAGGATCAGTATTGTTTATGTCTGTTTATTGGAAAGAAAAATATTGTCCCATTCTAGTTGTCAATTGGATGCTAATAACTTACTAATAAATGTACTAAGTTAGCAATTCAGCTGTTTGAGTTTTAATGATTTGGTTTATTAGGTCAAAGCATTAAAGTGTTAATCTTGCTGGTGAGGCTACCACTGGCTCGTTTCTATTTCTGCTACATTCTATTTTCTACGTAGTTAGGTAGGATCCCAGTTGCATACTGCTGGTCAAGTCCATAACCAGGATTCCTGATGGGGGAAAGGTTTCTATGAGCCATGCATTCTGGGTAGTCTGTATTAATGCCCTGGTGGGGTTTAAGGGGAGAGTTCTTATGGGGTCAGGGGAGAAAACATTTCTGGTGTTGAAACATATATAGGCACATCATGACTATATATAGGCATACAAGAGTTTTTTTGTCAAAGAAAATATAGTGTGGATATAGCTTTATAAATTATGTTTTAATATCCTGCTATGGGTTGGATGGAGTCGCATGATAGCACTCGTCCACTGCGATCTGTCCCGAGCCTGATCGTGTTATATTAACTTAGCTTTTTGCTCACCTCACATGACCTCATTTCAGTTAATTGGTTGCCTGCTTCTGCCACAATTACTATCAACACCAAAATAGCTGCCAACAGACAGATTCTGCAAGGTTTTGGTCATGTGACATAGTGTGTAGTTTACTGGCATTCCAACCAACATATTCAACATCAATGTGCTTTATACAGCAGAAACACTGTAAACGAAGCCACACGTTTTCCTATTACCGAGCATCACTCACGCTGCCTGTTTACAATTGATATCACTATTCGTCGCATGACCAACCTAGCGGAAAGTGTCTATTGAATGAAGTCATTCATCTGAAAGAGATTTTTAAAACAAATCAAGATGCCAATACGATAATTAAATCTGGGATGTCCTAAAACCGAGTTTAACAAAATACAAATTGAGAATGAAATATATATCGAGTGCCATGGCCAGGATTTGTACTAACTATTTACTACTGACCGACTCAATTGATGTACAAATAAACATAACTCATGCAATACAGTTTGTGTTTCTACAATTCAAAATCTGAAATTAAGTGTACATCAGTCAAATGAAGTGGTCTTATATTCAATATAAAAACATGTATTGACTAAACATGAACAGGGTAACACATTTTACAAATACAATTAGTATATTATGTACTACATTTAGAATATTTTTTTTTTTTATTTATTGTTATTGCTATTATCATTGCCTTTTTGGTAAGCATCTTGGGACCTGTTCTTTTTTTTGCCTACCATAATCTTTACTTTTGAGTGAAGTAAATTTATGAAATTATAAAATTATGTGTGCGGTACATGTTTTTTAGGTCTTAGTAGCTTATTTTTTCACATTTTCACTTTTATTTTCTTGGTGGAGAACTAGGAAGTAATGCTTAACTGAATTTCGATAAATTTTGTGAATAGTATTTAAACAGATCGTAATGCCATTATAAAGGTGTCTGTTTGATACATTATTATTTTACACTACAGTAACAATATAATTATGTGATTGTTTTTGCAGTGGTTACAAACAGCAACTTAGTTCTATACCAGTGTATCAAAACAGCGGAATCTCATCACTACAGAACTTCCGGAAGAGGATGATACGGTATGTGTAGTTTATTATATATACGTTACAACCTGAAAATGTGTGCGACTACACGACAGAGGCATTGTACATTTCACTAGAGGCAGTTTTAGAGGGTGGGGAAGGGGATTTTGCTTTGTCCTGTCAACCAGTGTTTTGCTTATTATTTATTTTTTTAAAATGTATTTAATAGAATTTCTCATCATCATTATCCATCATCATTTATTTAAGTCAGCATTTTTCCTGTTATATGGAAGCGGTTTGGTGCAGCGGGAACGGTTTGGTTTCAATTCCTCGCTGTGCATTTCGCTTGTGTCCTTGAGCGAGACACTTTATCTGCATTGCTTCTCTCCACCCAGGAATATAAATGGGTACCTAGTGGGGTTGCCTGCTCCCGCGCTGATTACCAGCAGCAACACTTAGCATGTGGACCCAATGACCAGGGAAAAGGACTGTGCTTTATAAACGCAAGGAAGAGGCACATTATAAATGCCCGTACCAGTACCAGATGAAAGGTTACTGACTTTCACTCCATGATGATCTTCCCATCTTCCACTTCTTCCATCATCATTTCGCTCACATATTCAGAAACTGTTTAAGGCACTTTCTTCCCTGGTCATTGGATGCAGAATTAGCCATACATTCAAATTTCATGTGGAATTCCTTTTAGTAAAACTTTTTGTAAAGGTAAAGGTATTAAAATAACCCATAACTTGCAGTGTCATTGTGCTGATTGGCTGTGTGCGTGGTCCGTGACTATTGTAGCAGCTGCAGAGAAGCGCTTAGTTCACATCATTCCACAACGACAGAAGCTGAAATGAACCATAGCATCAGGGTAACACCCTACATTTCCGAAAGATGCAATGGGGTCTTTAAAGTGCACACAAACCACATGTATTCACAGGACCTCCTTATCAGAGCAAACATGGTTCTACCAGCCAATTCCTGGGCAAGGAGCCACTAGAGCCAGCACCGATGTTAAGGCTGTAGTTAACGGCGTCCCTGTCTTACCGCTTAGCCTCTCGACTCATGTTGCTATGATGGTCAAGTTATTATAATTTTCTTTGACCACTTGACTTGATTTTGAACTTTCATCTTCCTCAGGTGGACACAGATACGCATTTCAACAGTACCGGCGATTATATTAGCAGAACCGATCACAGAGTCACTAGCACTGGGTATATGGAATGCGTGGAGCGTTAGTTACCTGTTAGGTTGGGATCCTATTGTGTTCTTCTTAGCACATATATTAATATGGATGTTACTGGGATATATACAACTCAAAATAGTACAGGTAATGTCAAATTTTCTTTTCAAAACCTTTGAAAATATATTTTTTAATTTTAGTGTCTTAATAATATTTTCCCGAGATTTTTACTCAGAGGCAGTTTGGCGCAGCAGGAACGGTTTGGTTTCCCAACCACAACATTTGGGTTTCAATCCCTCGCTGTGTGCTTCATTTGTGTCCTTGTGCAAGGTATTTTATCTGCGTTGCTTCTCTCCACCCAGGAGTATAAATGGGTACCGGGTGGGGTTGCCTGCTACTGTGCCAATATGGCAGCAACACCGCAAGTGGATCCAGTGACCAGGGAAAACAGTGCACTTTGCGTCCTAAAGGAAAGGCGCTATATAATAACCAAATAACAAAAAATAAAAATATTTTGTGTATTACTTAGTAATCGAAGAGATTTCTTAATTGAAAATCTTTCTTTTTTCTCCTCCAGAATGATAGGCTTAATTTTTCCAAGTTTGATTTTGTGATCGCTTGGCTCTATCGCGAGATCATGACGCCGTATTTGTTCATGAAAGGTATGATGAAGACGACTGTAACGTGGCGGAATCAAGTCTATAAACTAAAGTGGGGAGGGGAACTTGAAGAGGTCAGGTAGCCTGCTCATGTCAGAGGTTAAGTGTCATTTTCTTGCCACAGATCTTGCCAGACAAGTTCTTGCGATTAAGACAGCAGTAATGAAAATGGATTGATTTACAAAAGAAGATGTGTGTATTGTCTACATGAAAATGTATCAGTGATGATATTGAGAAAGAAATTGTACAAATAATAATATGACTGAACAAAATAGCACCTTTTAAACTGACCAATTAAGTACCAGCAAACTAACCAATCAAATTCCAGAAATTCTGCCAAACCAAAATGCCAATAGTGTGAGAACAAACAACACCGCTTTGACGCTGCTGCACAATGGAATCCCAACAGCTTTATTATTGAATTGCGTCCTGGAATTTACTCTTAACAGTCTGCTTGTGCAGACTATCAATTTAATTTTGCTTGATTTTTGACCAACCAATCAAACCACAGCAATTCAACCAATCAAAAACCAAATTAAAAAAACGTTTAATGTTTTTGGTTTTTTGAATGGATGAACTCCACATCGCAATATCGATGAATGTGCATTATACGAAATCACTCAGTCAATGCATTGAAAACAACAGTCAAGCACTGAAAAGCGGTTATGACACAATGATTATAATGTAAGGTCAGTGTGTCATTCTTCTGCACTCAGCGGACACAGTGAAAACATAATCCAGGCAATCAACAAATCGGCCCGCTCAGCAACAGCAAAGGGCTCTAATGCATTGAGTTTTGACTTACCACTTTGTTGAACTTTGACCCATGTGCATATATGTGTCTGATCGACTTGCAAATAAAATCTGTTGATGTGAATACCAAGACATTAAATACAGTGAGTTGATTGATATGCCATCAATAAAGCTGTAGGGTTGGAGGGAGGGAGGGTGTCGTATATTCAAAATGTAGTTCCAGATAAAAAAATATGCTGCTCTATTTAACAAGAATTTTATCTTGATTCAGATCACAGTAATAGATTGTAGATTAGCATTTGTTTTTTTATATTTTGATACCTTCATACACCGGCCATAATTAATATTTGCTGTATTGTTGGGATTTTTGCATCCTTTTCCATAATGAAAAACAACAGGATTGTTACCAACAACTCTAAGAAGATAATTTTCTATCTGAAGCCACAACGTTAGCGTTAATTTTTGCTTGTTGAAATTTCTTGGTGGTTATTATCACTAACCACTGAAATTCTTTTAAGTTTTTGACTTTGGAAAGCAAAAAAAAATTGTTGTCATTAACGTCACAGCTCTTCCTTCCAAAAGTGCTCTTATCTCCAAGTGGTTTTTTTTTTAGTGTATCCATATTTCTAAGCTTACATTTTATGGTAGCTCGAATAGAGTTGTGTCAGTTGTGTTTTACCTTTATGTAGTAGTATAATGCTAGCAAGCTGATTAAGTGTATATATTTGATGCAAAATTAAAAGTATCAAATGTTAACACATTCTTGAATTGGGGTGTATCAATTTTATGAAGATACTGTTAGGACCTTTAGGCACATTGTCTAAAACAACACATTTCATGTAATACATACTTTACAATAATTACAATTCTCAACTGGTTTAAACTTGTCTGTTTGCTTGGTTAGTCGCTGCTGAATTTTAGTATACAAGTTAACTAATTATCACAAGCATAAAATAATCAATGGTTGACTTGTTAAAATTATTTTAATTCAAGTTAAAATAACTTGTCATGTTTCGTAATTGTATAAGCCTACAGATTAAAAAAATAAATAGAATGTTTGAAAAAGAATGTCAAATCCTGAGCTAGTACAGATAGTGAAATTTCAGAATGGTTAAAAAAAGATTTGAGATTGATAAAATCATGTAAAGATGTTTTTTGTACAATCTGTGTTATGCTCATTGTCTATGGGAGGTCTTTTGACTGAGCATTGACCACATGGGCAAAAAGCTAGACTAGACAGAGAAAATTATATACTGTGCAATTTTGATGGATGCCGATAAAACGTTTGTCTGTCTTAATACTACATATTATGATTCCATTATAAAAATTAACACTAACATGTTTTTACATTGTGGTTTTATAAGGAGGATAATCTATATATATAATGCAAGATATATAGCTCAATGGGTGTATTTAACTGCTTTGCTGGAAATGAGTATTAATACTGTACTTGAATATTAATGAAAACATTTAACCATCGTCATTTATAATACGTATGGAATTGATTATTGTCGAGGAATCAATTCATTGCGACTAATTAGAATTTATAGACTTAACATTCTTTCTGTACATAACAATAGAGATATCATATGAATTGTTTTAACTACTGCTGCAAACCTTTTTGCTGTATATACTTGTCCTGGTCACAGTATTTCACATGTCAATATCCATATAATTTGGGCCAGTAGTGTAATTCTTAATCTGTTAGTCACTTTTATTTTTATACATATTTTGAGGTCAAGTGTCAAAGGTTACTAATGATGAAAACCTAGCAGTGTAATGTGTAAATATTAATAATTAATATGCAAAAATGTGAATAGGCCAAAGGTCAGAATTATGCTATATTTTTGGCATTTTAAGAGGGCTGTATGCAAATCCATGAATAACTTTTGATTGCCTTTCTGGTTGTCTATCTGTAATATGAAAGGATTCTGCATGTGTGTTAGAGTCAGCAATCCTTGGTGATTGCATGTTGAATAAATGTATAGGTGGGAAGAATATTATGTAGAGGCTTGTAAGAAATTTACAAGAGGAATTATTAGAATTGATCTGCTCCCCAAGTTTAAGCTCTCTCTGAGTTATCAAATTTTCTTTCACAAAAAAAAACCAAAAACTGTTCTATTCCCATATATAGTCATGATATGCCTATATATGGTCATGATGTGATAGTCATCGTGACTTTATTTAAGTATGCCACATGTATGTCAAATTTTGACAATAAACTGTTGTATGCCCATATATAGTCATGGTGTGCCTATATATGGTCATGATGTGATGTCATCATGACCATATTTAGGCATGTCACATGATTTTGTCAAATAAAATTTTGATAGACTGGACAGGCCTTTAGATCTGCATAGTTTTGAATACAGAAAGGAGAATTTAGATTTGTAACAATTTCCGTAGGTTGAGTTAATGGGAAACTTCTGGGATTATTAAAAAAAAAAATATTTGTTATTGTGTTTATTTAAAGACACAGAATCCAAAATAGTACCAGGGGACCCAAGTCTCTGGGAAATCAAGATGGCTTCCCCTGAGCAAGCAAGATTTTGTAATTCAAAATGAAGCCATGTACTGCAAATTCATGATATTTGGATGTTATACATCTGTATTATCAATTGTCTCGCTGAAGTCAGTTGGTGATAAGTATTAACGCACACAGCAAACTAAAATTAAATGTGTTTAAATATAGAGCTTGTTGAAAGTGGCTTCTTCGAACTCATGTTTTGAATAATGGAGCAATAATTATCTGTATTACATTTCCATTTACAAATTGTTTTTACCTTATAAAAATTTTTTTTTTTTTTTTTTTTTTTAGTTTAAAGAAATACATTATAGTTCATATGGTGCTAGTGGGTTACTTTGTGCAAAATATTTAATAATGTGGATTTGGATCTTTAAAATGGGGGATGGGGATAGGCAGAATGTATTTTTGTATGGATTTGATATGTCAGAGGGGTAGGGGGTGAATTACTCGAACCAATTTATATTATTTTCTTAAAATTAATTTATAATGGACTACTACATATTTTCCTTTCTTCCAATTTGAACTTGAAATCTCGAAAGTTGCTCCTGGTGGAAACTATCCTCGTTTTTAAACAGGTAGCCCTTTAGGAGCCTAGAGAAATACAAACATCTCTTTACTGTATTCCGTGTATAAGTGTACATAATTGTAATTTTCAGGCCCTCGCTTGATCACTTTGGGTTTTTAGACTCACCTGCAAGCAAAAACTATTTTAAACCAGTGTATTTAATTAACACTATTAATGTGAGATAAGAAATGTATTTGCAATAATGGTAACATTTGACATGTTATCTATATAATTAGTACCTTGGGTTTATCAGCTTAATTGGTTAATATTTAATATAAAATATAAATAATATAAAACTTAAATGTAACAATAAGCAGAAATTGTTTCTTGATATAATATATTATCAATGTTAATACAACAATGAGATAAACAGGAGATGTTGGAATGTCAAACTTTGATTTTAATTTCTATGCAAATTCTGTATAATTTTGAATTGTGAATTAGCTACTGAGTTTTACAAGAAATTGGGTGTGGTGGGGTGGGGGTGGGTTCAATTGACAGAATGTTGCCCAGAAGGAATAATGAGGCTGTTTTTTCTTAGCAGAAAAGTCTGGTGCGACCCAGTTTAATCTTCCGCACTGAGCGTGTGCTACTACCAGGCATTTCGGAACTTTTTGCAGAATTTTTCCACAGTTAGACATTTCCCATGCACCCTTATATTCCTACTCTCTGCCTAGCCCATGCCTTTAAATCCACGTTTTAACAGCAGTACCATTTGACCACGCTGAACTAA